GCGCTTACCAAATGGCACGACCACCACGGCGGAGCTGCAGCTTATCTGCAAAGCTGCATGTGAGTATGTCATAATATATTGTTATCTGCACCCTCCTCGGTGTAGACCTGGATTCCACCGCAAATGAACCGTTGGCAGGAAAGACCACCGTTTTAAGGAGGCTTTCATGCTATGCCTGTCAGACAGTAAGTCCTGCGCCATTGTTATTAAACCACTGCAGCCGATGATTACGACTTTGCCTAAGTAATGAAAGGCCCACCTATGAGACGCAAACTTGGCCCTTCTTAGAGCCGCCTGCTGTTTCATTGGCGTGTGCTTCCCCGTGCCAACCTGATGCAAATACTCGTTTGACGGCCTAGATTAGAACATTCCGCAAATGAATGGGACCGCGGCTCTGTAACCGTTGCAGGCGTGGCCTATTTGCTGTCTAAGGGAGCCTCAACTCCCTTGTTTTCCTTGTTCATACTGCATTCTTTTGGTTACATTAATTTTACCCCACTTCGTAGTGACCTGCTGGGTTGACGTAACGATTATGACGTGTCCGGAACATTTGCGTGAGCACTTTAATGGGTCTGAAAGACGACGTTCCCGGAACTTTTATATTTCCTGACAGTTCGTTTATCATATCCATGGGCTCCTATGCGCATCGACGCAGTGCTGTTAAATAGCTAGCTGTAGATGTCCAATGACGGACATTTTTGGTGATCTTGCAATTAGATTTGTGGCGTACTGTCTGGACGGGTACACGAAATCTTTGATACTAATCACAGACGAGGAGTGACTGGCATTAACCGTGTTAGTAAAATGTTACCTTTGTACACGACCGCATCACCGTTGCACGACGCCTGTGGTGCTTGGACGGATGCTCGGTGACCTAAATTATTGGTGCCCTTGCAATAACAATCATATGTGGGATAATGCAAACACCGGCACAGGATGCATACACAGCTATTTTCTAGCCTACGTGACCGAAATTTTTGGTGCCAATGTGGTGAGACCTAGGTAAGAATATCTACGCCTACACAGGATGCATGTGCTCTTCTGAATGTATATTTGATAACGCGTGTTAATAGCGGCGTCGCAGAGAACTATGTAAGCTAATGTAGCAACGGTACACCAGGCCTGCGATAATATGTATAGAGACACCGCGAACACCATTGCTGCTAGTACTGATACCTAGGTAGGCTAAGGTATCACTGGTACACCCGGCGCGTGATGATATGTATAGAGGCTCCGAGACCCACATTCCTGGTGATGGTGCTACGAGGCCTATGTAGGCTACTGTATCACTAGTACGCCAGGTCTGTGATGATAGGTATAGAGGCACCGAGCCCTACCTCATTGCTGTTAGTGCTACGAGACCTATGTATGCTACTGTAGCCCTTGCACACCAGGCCTGAGATGATAGGTATAGTGGCCCCGAGACCAGATTACTAGACGTTTCCGTGCTCTTTTATATCTCCCAAATGTGGCTGCCTGGATGCAACGGCGACAAGCTAATCGCATCGTCGAAACGGGATACGATGCAATTTGTGAATCCCTAGTGCTCACAACCTTCCAACTTTCCGTTTCCATCCTGGCCTCTGGCTCACCACCGATTCATCCCAAATGCCATACACTAGGTTTGTGAAGCCGCATCGCCCACAAACATCTAACTTTCCACCATGTTCATTCGTTCATCACATGCTTGAGGTGTCTTTGGAGGTACATTATTATCCTTACACTCAACACGTGCGCGTGTTAGCGTTGAAAAATTAGTGAACCCCTACCGACTGCGGCGTGCACTTCTTGTACTCAGGTTACAGTTGTAGTAGCATATAGAATTCCTGGAAATTTCTCCCGGGAGGGTATTGAGTATATCCTTACTGAGACTGCAAATAGGTGTCTAGTTAATACCTGGTGACGTTAACCTACCGGAACTCTGCTACCCTGATTACTTCGAGCAATGGGTGACACGGTCACAGCCGTGCCTTGACTTCTGAATGGAAGGAGGCCATAAGCTGCCTTGTTAAGGGCCATGACAGCCCAGGGCCCGTGAACCAACGTCCTGTCAACTAGACAAGTGTAGCGGCCAAGTTGTTTGATATACTGATCAGGTATTCGGTGGATAAGGCTATTTACGCGCTATACGTTGAATTCGCCAACGCCTTTGACACCGTACCACATCCACGACTCCCAGTAAGGTGGAGATCGTGTGGGATATCTGGAGCCTAGCTATCGATTCGATGCCAGTACTTAGTATTGTGGTACTGTGTTTCATCCTTTATCATCATTTACTGAAAGTTGTGCATTAAGCCTATTTCTCCAACAGCGTTTATCCTTGTCCTTGGCAACAACGTATATTGACTTATCCCCCTACGGCATCCATAATTAGTCTCGCTTCCGTAACGATCGGGAAGTGACGGAATAGACCAAGGATTTTCCTTCTGATCTCTATCATCCAATGATCCAATGCTCCTTCACAACGGAGATAATTGCTACGACTTCAGCGAGGCATCCGCATAATAAAGGTCACGGAGTTTACAGAGTGTCTCCGTTCTACTCTCCACATTCGAATTGGTCCAATTAATGAAACAGAAACTGATTTTCAGACGGTAGGTGCTACAACTCCATCGGCGGGAACGAACTCACTGTTTTACAATGGAAAATGATATTAAACTTTAGCTTCATAGGGCGTCGCAAATTATTTCCCTGAATCATGCAACAATTCGTTTTACCGAGGTTTACGAAACGACATGCATAGAGCAGGCACGTACATTCCATGTCTGACATCAGTCGAATGCAATACTATGGAACGGATAGTCAAGTGCGCTCTCCAGCTACACTGTATGCATCTAAACCTCATCTCACCTGCTCAACATGGCTTCCGGAGAACACGCTCATGCATCACTAACTTACTCATCGCCAGGGAAACATGGGCAGAGGCCATAGATACCCGAAAACAGGTTGACGTAATATTCATTGACTTTAGCAAAGCCTTTGATAAGGTTCCACACGTACGACTGCTACATAAACTCCAGGGAATTGGCATTACGGGAAATCTTCTCTTCTGGATTGCCGATTTCTTAAGGAGTGGGACAATGCGTGTACAAGTGAACCAAACCCTCTCTGCTCCAATGCCTGTGACTAGTGGCATTCCCCAAGGATCAGTGCTTGGACCAGAGCTCCTCAAACTGTACATTAACGATTTACCGACTGCGCTACAAACCGACTGTTTGATCTACGCCGATGACCTCAAGCTTTGGTCAATAGTATCCAGCATTGAGGATGCGGATAGATTACAAGGGGCTCTAGACCAGCTACGCCAATGGTCCAGCAAGTGGGAACTGCCAGTAAACCGAGATAAATGCGCTGTTCTCCCAATGTGTGGTACCGAACCCTACGGTGCATGCCACATTGATGGGTTTCTCCTTAGGAATACCACCCACGAGAGAGATCTCGGGGTTATCGTGATTTCTAACATTAGAACGACGCAGGACACGTTAAAGAAGGTGGCCACTGGAAGGAGACTAGTAGGTGCCTTAAGAAGATCATTCGCCCGAATGACTCCCGAGATTTTTCGACCGTTGTTCACTTCGTACGTCCGTCCAGTCTTAGAATATGGCCTACCAGCTAGCCATCCGCTTTCAAACTTTGAATGCGCTCTGCTGGAAAAGGTTCAGAGACGTGCATTGAAAGCTGTTCTGGGGCTTCGTGACCTCCCGTACCCCATTCGACTCCAGCAGCTAAATCTGTTCTCCCTCGAGCTCCGCCGTCGCCGGGGTGATCTCATCTACACTAGACGCATCCTCCGAGGGGAACTTGGAAGTGAGTTACAACAATTCTTCCGGCCCAACACTGACTGTTCCAGCAGAGGGCACAGATGGAAACTGTTTAAGCAATGAAGACACAAAATTCGCAAGGACGTCACCCTATCCACTAGAGTGGTGAATGACTGGAACAGCCTACCGGAAGCAGTTGCAGAGGCTCCATCCGAGGAAATCTGCAAGCGGCTGCTAGTCAAACATTCGCTGAGAATGCTTGAATCTTGCGACTGTCACTGCAATTACGACGAACCCTCGGGGAACGTCGTAACGCAACGACACGCATCAAACCCAGTATGATACGGGATCGATGGGGCTGACAAGGGATTTCCCTCCTGCTCTCTACAACTCAATGAACTCAATGAACTCAATGAACAAATGCTTGGATGTATTCGGCTCACGACAACAGTTCATTTCTAACTGGTAGAGCAAATAATACGCGTTCAGCGAGTGGTAATGAGGAGAAGAGAGGCTCTGTGACGGCCCCTTCTATTCGTCGTGAACCGGTATATATTTCTGTTTCCAGGAATCTGGTGTATTATTTCATTACTTGCCATTTCACCATTAACTGTCACTGAATATTACCTTTCGCTGTAGCATAAGAGGGCCACCACAATTTCCGGAATACCAAGCAGAATATTCTTCTTCATTAGAAAAGGATCCTACCGACAACCTTCCATGAACGGACAGTCATGTTGACTGCCAAAAAGATACTCTCAGCTGCCAGAGAAATATCAGTTTATCTCTCCGTTTTCCGAAAAGAAAAAATAAAGGTGCATGATTTTTAACGACTAGGTAATAACTGATCGTTTTTCTCAATTATCAAAGTGGCTAAATTACATTTACAGGCGTTTCATGTTGGTGCAATCGGTTAGAAACATTAACTATCATCTTTGTGCTTTCAAACACCGATTTTCACGTTTAACTGACTAGAATGGACACATCTTCATGAAAATCTGAACACGTCCATGTAGCCAATCGCATAGCTTCGCCATCTTAAATCCACACTGTTTGCTACGCCACTGGTGGCCAGTCCATTAGAGAACAATGTGTTCCCGATCTTTGTACTAGCGCATGGCATAATCCATGCCTTAAGTCATAGTGATAGATATATAGTACTGTTTTAGTGTGATAGAACCTTTGTGAAAATGTTGGCTTTTTGTAATTTGGTCTCAGCACCTTTGTTTTGTGTCTCTCACGCTTTGGCGCCTTATTCAAGATGGATGCTTTGGCGAGTTCTTGTTCGGAACCGCATCTACTTACAGCATGTCTAAAAGACTGGGATAAATTTGGAAAGAAAAATTTGTAAGTCATTATCTTATTAGATTGGTTTATATATCGTTCAACCATTTAGTTTTGTCAGTTATCCATGTTTTTCATTTTTGCATACTTCAATTCACGTGTGATATTTCGGTTGATTACCAATCTGAGTCCTTAGTACTGATATTTAAGTCGTAATTTGGTCACTTAAGAGTTTCGCGTTTTCCATGTTTAACATACAGATAAAAACAAGATAGCGACTGTGTTACATGAGGTGTCCTGTCCTCGGGCGTCAAGGTAACACGTTTACAGTTTAGACGCAAGAATTTATTATCACGTTGAAGTGTTGGGAGCTCATCTCTCTTACTGGCGCATGACACGCGACGCTTGTTAGTAGAAGCTTATTTCGTCTATGGATCCTGTCTTGTCCTGTCCAGGTGGACACGAAAGTTCGCCAATGGCAAAACTACTCAGGGAAAAACTGATTCCGACGGCAACAAGCATTGTTGTGGTCACAGCACACGAACAGTCAGGGCAGAACACAGCGTGTGATTGGCAGATGTCAAACTCAGGTTATTCAAACAAAACGAGTCAACTACCAAAACTGGTATGGCGACTACAAAATCTTTAAGTATTATAGTTCTCTAAGGTCATTGTCATCTGATATACAACTCACATTTATTGTTTGATGGCTATGCCGCCGAACTGAAAGCAAAAGAGTGGTCAAAAAACTTAGCATTGATACTACACCATCCTCTCTGAGAGGCGTCCCTCTCGACGCCCTAATTAGTAGCCGATACATAGGGCCCAGTGGTTGTTACATCCGTTTCTGTTAACGCATGCGGCTGGTCTGTGTTTTTTACCGGACCTTGAGACGGTGGAGTAGATGCCTACTGAGAGCTGTCGGTTTAAGACGATTGAAATGAACAACAGCTGAATGGTCTATGCCTGCACCTTGTGTGTAGACCTGACAAGTAGAGCCAGTATATACTTCCTCATCCACGTTTGAACCAGACCACTCCATGTGCAGCTTCGACGTAACGCCCTGGGATGGATTCGGAGTGTGTAGGTAGACTCGTTGTCCAGGTTGAAGCGGGCTGCCATGGACTTTCTAGTCATCTACGGGCAGCTCCTAAGTGCTGTCGCGCGAATGAATAAGCTTTGACCAGATCCCGACGTAAACGAACCGCATAGTCTGTGGCAAGAAGCGAATCAGCAGCCGCGGTTCGCACAGCCAAATCAATCAGTACTCTCATTTCGTGCCCAGTTACTATGAAGTGTATAGTATTGTCAGTGAACACTGGACCGATAAGACAGGAGGCACCGTGGAAGTGCGATATCCCAATCGCGGATTTTACGTTTCTCTGTGCACGCTTTTAAAAGTGCCTTTAACGATCGCTTTGTGCGTTTTACTTGGTCGTTGCCCTGGGGATGGTAGGCTGTTGTCCGAGTCTTTCGAATGCCTAATATTTGGCAGTGTTCTGACACCACCAAACTTTCGAAATTTAAACCGCGATCTGAATGCGGTTCCTCAGGTACCCTTCGTCGTGAAATCCAGTGGTCAACACACAAGATGAGCTGTGCATCTAGCATTAATGTAGGGGGTTGATACTGTCTCATGCCATTTGGTGAAATAATCGACCAGAACAAGTATATATGGATTCCATCGCTTCGTTTCAGACAGGGGTCTAAGGGCGTCAACACCTACGGTTTCGTTGGGATATCCGCTCACCTTGGACTGCAGGGCCCTGTTCATCGTTTGTGGTTGCTTAAAGCGAATGCACTCATGGTATGCATTACAGAAGTTCGCAATACCTCGACGCTGTTGTCGCCATCAAAAACGCAATCCTGCCGCTTGCTCCATTTTTCATTGTCACGCGTGCCCCAACTCCCTATGTAACTGTTCGAGTACCCGCTGCACCATAAACTGTGGAACGATAAGTCGGTTGGGGTAATTCGGACCGAACTGATAGTGCGTGACACTATCCAATAACCGAATTTTCGACCAAAGAGACCACAAGCAGTACGCTTCCGAGCTAGATCCAGGCATTCCTGCTTTCGGAGGCTTCACACTGCTGCTGCAAACGCTCATAAATCAGTTTGGTCTCTAAGTCTATACTGTGAGCCGATGCCCATTCTGTTGAATCGGAATGGTTTAGAGACAACGGCGACGTTCGAGGTTAGACATGACGGACAGTCCCCATGTGCCCTAGACGGCCGGTGAGAGGGCGTCTGCAGTTCTCTGTTGATTCCCTGTACGATGTTGACATTCGAATTCGAAGGCCTGCAGTTGTCCTTGTCAGCGCGCAACTTGCCTTTCGGGTTCGCGAAATTCCCGCAACCACCGGAGTGCCTGATGATCAGTACGGACAACAAAGTGTCGACCCAACAGGCAATGTCGGAAACGTTTAACGAAGGTGACCAGAGCAAGCATTTTCTTCCTGGTAATAATAATGATGTGTTAGCTGTACGCTGTAACGGCGCTTCGCTGTTGTGCTATCACCACAAGTCGTACGAGGGTTGAGTATACCGCGAGGACGTTCATCCCTACGCAGATTCGAACGCGCGCCGCAAGCTCGCTACCACTAGGGCACGTAAGCGTAAGCGACAACCCGTTCCGTACCATCCCCAGAGATCTGTGATAATTCAGCTCAGATAGCAACCTCGCTAGCATCCGTATCCAAAATGAAAGGGCCTGCTTGCAATGGCACATATGGGAAGACAAGGACCGGGGCACTGACCAACGCATGACGCAGCTCACGAAACGATTCCTGACACTGCGAGCTCAAGTGGAACAATCGACCTTTTTGAGTCGGTGTGAGGGGGCTGCTATAGCCGCATACTTCTTCACGAAGCCTCTGTTGTAAGAACCCAGATCCAGAAAACTTCGAACCTCTTCCACGGACTCGGCGGTCGGCCAAATTAAGATATCCTGTACTTTCGTAGGTTTGCTCCGGCTCCTAGAATCGCTAATCATGTAGCCTAGGTATTTAACCTCTCTCTTCAGCAGATCGCACTTGGACGGCTTCAGCTTCAACCCTGCAGAACTAAGGCACTCCAGTACTGTTTCTAGATTGGGATATGTTCATCGAGTGTACATCCATGAACTGTGACATCATCCAAGCATGCAAGACGTTTTCTTGGCTGCAGATCTCTGAGTACAATATGCGTCCATCGCTGGAAAGTCTCTGGCGCATTAGCCAACCCAAACGGTATCGTCTGAAACTTGTGTAACCCTGTGGGCATAACGAAGGCAGTTTTTCCAATCTCTGTGGAGTGTACTTCGACTTACCAATAACGAGGCGAGGTCCAACGTAGAGAATTGGGTGGCCCCATGCAATGATTCCAGAGCATCGTCAATGCAGGTAGTGGGAAAGAATCTCCGTGTACCATCATTAAGCTTCCTATAGTCAACGCACTTGGGCAGTGTTTCATCCTTCTTTTTGACTAATACAATAGTGGAAGCCCATGGATATCGCAAGGTCGTATAATATTATATTTAAACATAAGATCCACCACTTTCTGTACTTCGTGTCTATACACGGGTGGGACAGGCCTGGGTCATTGTCTTGTTGGGGGAGCATCCCCCATTTCAATCCGATGCTTAAGTACGCTCGTTCTGCCCAACGAAGTACTCCACACAAGCGCGTGCTTGTGTGGACGCAGTAACTTCCAGGCGCTTTCGAACCTCACCGTCAACAACAGGGTTAACAGAAGAAAGCAATTCTGATAGCTCACCTTCAAGACCCATGGTTTTAGCATTAAAACTAAAAAACTCTTTCACGTAGCTATCACTGAGTTTGAAGTTTAGGGGGTGCAGGTTGCCGCCTAATGTCAAAACTCCGGAGATTTGATCGACGACGCATGTATAACAGCTTAAAAAGTCACCCCAATATCGTATCCCATGTAATTGGATCGGATATGTAAAACACATGAGAAAGAAGCTTCTGACCGACCAGCTAATCTGCGAAAGCAACCCCATGCGTAAGCGGAGCCATACCATTTGCCACGCCGATCTGACGCCCGGGACTAATGACTACTGAGAAAGACAAGAAACGGGATTTTCAAAGTCTACACACTACACTGGTGTCGTCGATACGGGTATGCACTCGTTGATTATTGACTATTACGTCCACAGTTTGTTTCACAGGACTTAGAAGACAGCAAAGGTACACAAGATAGGTCCGACTCACCGACAGTGAATCGCACTCTCTTTGATTGTTCGCGCCTTTGGAACTTGTGGGGGCGTTGTATTGGCTTTTCATCGGGCGAATTCTGGTACACAGAACGGTGACGACAGCAAATATGCGAGCTTAGGTTGTGAAGCGGTTCAGTCCCATTTATCGTTAGCGGCAAACCACTGATATCTATCAGCTTGTCAACCTCCATCGGACGCCTCTCGCGGTTCGCCCCTTTTTCGCTCGCAAGCCACCCGGTGGTCGCTAAGCCTTTCGGTGGCTCTCGAACAAACCGCTCCGAACTGCGATCGTCGTTAATGCCCTCAATGAACCACTCCAAGATGAAGGCCTGTCCTTCCGTCACTGATTTCTCTAGAGAAGCCCGGACCGATAGCGCGCTGTTGCACAAAAAAACATCGTCCGACTCTGTCTCTTGAAGAAATCTCTACCAAAAAGCTGACCGTGAAGCTGCCTTGTAGTTTGTCCGGAAAAATGAGCTAGTTGATTCCAAATATCCTTGACAGTGGCGTCTGGGCAAACATCAGTAGATAACTGAACCTCTTGAACTCGGTCACTGAAAGAATTCATTATAACCGAGCACTTGTGTTCTTCGGGGACGCACGCAAGGGACATTTCCATGCGACGACGCCAGTTGCGTAAGTTAGGGTCAACAACAAAAGCAGGTGGGAGGGAAGCGACACTTGTCAAAGGCCGAGTTCTAAAGGTGGCTGTCCACAACTTGATGGTTGTGCAGCGGGAAAATCCTGTTCCTCCTTCGGTTTCTTCGCGCGGAGTGCCATGGCGATATCCCACCTGTCACCAAATATGTAGTGTGCATTGATCCAAGGGGACACGAAAGATCGTCAA